GCTTGACACATCTACACCCCTGATGTTGACAATATGTTGCTGTTGATGCATTTCTACATTGACAAGTGCATGACATCTTTGGGTGTTTTTTAATACAGGGTCAGTCCAGTCCTGACTCTATAAACAAAGAAACATATTGATGCTAATGAGTTTCTTACCTCAGATTCATCTGTAAATTCCTCACTTGATTTCCTCCCCTAAAAGACAGACATTTGAATTACTTTAAACAATCTAAAATTGCTATTATTAATCAAGTAAAACACTAAAGATTGCAGTCGTGCCACAATGTGAAGTGGTTGCAGCAGCTATGAGGCACAGATGTCTTTAGAGCAGATATAAAATAACTGCAAAGCTCTCAAATGACAGGCGTTTGGCACTCACTTTATATAAATAAAAAAGTGTTGTATAACAGCCTACATCAAACAAAAGTCAGCTGACGTAATTCACCAACCAAATTTCTCTTTATTTTTGATGCAGCTGAGCTACGCATAAAACGTAAACCTTTAGCCGGCTAACGTTAGCATGCAGCGCTTACCTCCTCGACTTCTGCCATTGTCGTATTAGCTAGTGTTACAGCCAAACAGAATAATATCTCAGTGACGTTTTACAAGTCCACAACACGGTAATTCCATTGAAGCTGCATCTTAAAAACAAGCAATCGTAAACAAAGTGTTGATTGTTGTAGAAGGCTGCTCCTCGTCATAAGTTAAATCACATGACTGAAACAAAGCCGAGAGGGATTTTGGGTATTGGAGTGTTCGAGACAGAGAGACGATGCCAGCAATGGGAAAGAAAGGTATGGCGCCGATTTTCGGGCAGGTAATGTCTTGAATTGGTTTTCCACCGTTGTATTTTTTATTTTCTAAACCCCTTAGCCTCGAAAGTTTGTTTTAATCAGTTACAACTTTTTAATTGGCCTACTGCTCATATTGAGAAAGTTAATTGGTTTAGAAAGTCCACAAATAAACATTAGCTGTTATAAAGTCTGAATCTGCGCCAAGTACTTCTCCAAACTTTCTCCAAGTGCTAAGCTATCAAACTTTTAAGATTCTTCAGAAAAACAAACAAACACAAACAGTAAAACAAGTGGTGAAAAGAAACTAAAGCATTTACTCAAGTATCGTAATTATGTATAGTTGTACTTGATGTGTTCGTATACTCAGTTGTTAGATTATTGTACAGGTGATGTATATTAAGCTAACAGCTGAGTATAGTTCCTGATTACTTTGCTGATTAATATTTTACATGCAGAACTCATAATATTAAAATTCATACATTAATGCATCAGTAATCTAATCATATAAGATATATTATACAGTACTCCCAGGGGTAATGTGGCATCTATTTTTTAAGCTGAACTTATATTTGTTATGTAAAACTTGCATCTACATCACTGCTAGATAAATGTAGAGGACTAAAATAGACAGTGATGACAAGAATAAAGCTGTTTACATGTTGTAAAAACATTCAGCTCATTTGATTTGTACATTTTCAGGCATCCCTGAAAATATACCTCAGATATTGGTCGACTGTCCTCGTCCTTCCTCGCTCTGCTGTCAGCTGCTTGCCAGTGTCCAGATGAATGCCAAAGGTATGATTTGCCTCTTCTTTATTGAGATTGTCTCGCACCCCATCTTGCCTCATCCATCCTCAAGAGAATCCTAATGCACTGATACCAAAGGGGGATAAATTTTTTTCTTTACAATCTACTTAGCAATGATTTATTGATTGTGGCTTCCACCCTCACAGAGAATTACCGATCCTTTTTGGGAAATCAGATTTTCACACCTTTCACAAGTGTGTATGTGGCACAGGTCTCCTGAGACAGTATGAGGGGAAACTGACTTTGAGGAGCAGCGGTGTGTGAATCTCTGTGGTGTCACTCCTCTGCTGCCAATGGTATGCCCAGTGGATGGCCCTGTGATTCTTTGCTGCTCTCTGTGTCTTTCTCTATACTTTTGTATTATTTATTTGTTGATAAATACCGTGTCTGAACTTCATTTCAATATGTTTTCATTTCATTTCAAACCCTTTAAACATGGAGTTCGCCCACTCTCATGCCATAAGCATGCAGGAGTCCCTCTGAGGTGTAAGCATTTCATAGGAAAAAAAGGAAAATAATAAAAACAACCCTTGCCCTCATAGGAGGAGTCAGATTAGTGTGCTGAAAGCTTTGATGCTCCAGAATGTCAGCTTTGTGGATCGATCTAGCAAAAAGCACGCACACACACACCTGACCAATCAGAGGCGTCTATCTGTTGTGGACCTGCTGGGCACCATGGTTTACAAGCTTCAAAGAGCTCCTTTTAATACACTGCTTTGATAGCCCTCAGCCTTCACTGACCCACCGATCATCCACTGGGGAGCATTTTAGCTTTAGTGGAGTTGAGAGGGATAACTGTTGATCATATTAATGAGTGCGAAAAAAAAAAGATCACCTCAAATCTTGACTACTTTTACCACTAGCCTGCCGTTCCAACAGTATAAAAAGGAAGCACATTATTTAGTAATTATACAGATAAAATAATACACACCTACTTCAGTTTTCATGGGTAAATCACAGGAAACATTAATAGTACCATCAGGTTTTTGCATGCATAAAGGTGCTTTGATGAAATTGGCACTGAAGTATACAAGGATCAGTTTATTAAGACAGAGGAACAGTTTGGTTAATAACCCTAAGGGGGAGACAAATCATCAGCTTCTGTAGTATTCCACATTAGGCTTGTTGCCTTGGGATATTTGCCCATTGCAGGAGGCACAGCAGATACAGAGCTACAAAATTTGTGACTTAAAATTATTGGTTATTGTTGGTCTCTCATTGACAGAGTTGTACTCTGTACACAGTTACTATTGTTTGTTAATTTCATAGAATAAAGTTGCAGTTTTATAGTTCTTAGTCAAATCAGCACTGCGGGGGGAAAAAACGCATTAAATACATGTCCATGTCTCATGGGTTGAGCGAGTTAATCTCTGATCTCAGCTGGCTTTTCAATTCCCATTCTTGGGCAAGACACTGAACTCTTGATATCGGTGACCAGGCCAGCGCCTTGCATGGCAGCTCCGCTGTCAGTGGTGTGTGAGTGTGTGCATGAATGGGTGAGTGGGTGAATCTGTAAAGCGCGTTGTCTAGGTAAGATATAAAAGTGCTTTATAAGTGCTGTCCATTTACCATTTGTTTAAAAACGTACCTTAAATACATACAGTATTAGATTTTAGTTAGCCTTTTATGTAGCCTTTATTCAAATTATTCCCCCAAAACTCACCAAAGGACATTAAGACTTTTTTTTGTAGCAGTGAAAGCAAATATCTAAATGCAGATATTGGATGTTAGGTTTCACCAGAAAAACACATTGGTTACTAACAGTATGAATGTATTTGCCTCTTAGGTTGTAGGCATTTTAGAGAAACTGTGTCCAATTTTAGTTTACATACTAATACTAAGCAGGTTTTAAATGTATAGTAAATCTTTTCTGGAGAAGTGAGAAATTTTAAGCATACTTTAAAAGTATGCAGACTTAAAACTAAGCTAGAGTTTAAAGTATACTCCTGCACAGCGACGTGAAAAGGAACAGGGAAGCTACAGAATATTACTGTAATTGCATATGATGGTGAGAAAAGTTGAGGCAGATACTGAAAAAAATTGCAGCTTTGGATAAACATTTTATGTTTCATTTGTGAAGTTTTGCTTTCTGCAACATTCCACTGTCACTTTGTGTGAGACAAAGTTTCATGTCTTGTCTGTAAGGCTGCAACTAACAACCATTTTCATTATCAATTAATCTGCCCATTATTTTCTCAGTTAATTGATTCATGATTCTGTCTACACAATGTGAGAAAATTGATGAAACTGCAAATTGTAATAGCCCCCAGCCCAAAGTGATGTATTCAGTGTGCTTTTTTGACCAGCTATTCAAAATCCCAAAATAATCAAGTTATTCTCATGTATGACAAATAACATGGCCAAATCCTCACATTTGAAAAGCTGGAAATGTTTGTTTGGGCTTAAAAAGCAACTATCACAAAAGTTGCTGATTCAATTTCTGTAAATCAAATAAATGAATAATCAACTAACTGCTGTGCAGCTCCTGTAACTACAACATCAACCAGATCAGTCATTTTTGGAGACTGCTGTCATACTGTATAATTCTTAAATAGCATGAGTGATGGATGTAAATGAATGTATTGCACCATTTTCTGTTGGTACAAAACAGAGGAATACATTCATTTTGTATCCTGCTAGCTCAGTATGGTTGTGAGCCACAGATTCCCCACCAGTTTGTATTAAATACTGGGCAGTCTCTCTTAAATACTACAATAAATAACAGCGATTGTTGTGGATAAGATACAACAATATTATTACAGTAATGATAATTTGTAATTGTATTTTTCTCTGTTCAACAACCAGAGGAGCCTTGAGTACTGGAGTGGAGCGTACTGGTCACAAGTTGAAACCCCACACCCAGTGTCCCTCACACCAGGACAGCACTGCTAAGACCACTTGCTAATAACATGGATATCTGGTGACACACGGGACTCTGCTAACCACTGATTCTGCAGCCACTGGGGGTGTTTGGTGAGTGGGAGGCAGAGGGGGGATCAAGTGCTTTTTCTTGTTTCTGCAACCTGTTCCTGAGAGCAGCTCCAGACTGAGCGAACAGCAGAGAAACGAGACAGATCTTCTTTCTTAACCCTTTAACACACACACACACACAGATACATATTCACACACTCACATTAATACTTTAATCAGGGCTCTGAAGTCTACTTTAAAAAAATGAAGTTATTTTGTTACACGTCCACTGCTTAAAATCTATAATCTAATTTGTTATGGTAATAAAAATATCCCTTTTTACTACAGATTTTTACAACAAGATTACAGATATCCCATAATTACAATACTCCCTCAGTTAAAATTAATAAACATACCCAATTGAATGGCAAATAGGCAAAGCTAGCTGTTTGGAAATGAAGTAATTAACAGCTGCGTAAGATGGTGAGAGATGTGTTGCCCCCTTATCCTCGAGCCTCAGAGGCCAGGGGAAGATTAGAGCTCTGATCTCATTCCGAGCACTTGTTTGGAGTCTGTCAGGAAGAGAAATGCCAGCATTAGAGAGTTAGCGCCACACTCCTGATATGATGAAATAAGGAGAAAAGGGGAAAGGGAAAAAGATGGAGGGATGGACAGCAAGGACCCTGCCCTCCTCTGAAGTGTCAGTAGCTTGTTTATTCTATTTTTCATCATAGCTGCTGGGGCAAAAATTCCCATTTTTCCTTTATTTTTTCCCCTACCTCCTAACAAAAACCACTGCGCTCATTTTTTATAGGTCTTGCAAACTCTCATGCCCCAGTGAAAATTACATTGTGAAACGGTAGAAATTTCAGGGCTGACTGTGCTCTCTGCTGTCCCTCTGAGCTTTCAAACAGCCAACAGACTGTGAAGAATAAATAATAAAAAACTATTGATTATTTTGATGACTGCAAGATTCAATTAGGTATTAATTTTGCCCTCCAGTGGACCTATCAAGCAACTCAAAGGAGAGGAGGTAGGAGGTGGGGGTGGATCCAAATGCATGCAGAGTGAGGCCAGGCTCAGACAGAGGGGAAAATGTGTTTACCTCAGCGCACAGAGAAGTGCATTGATGCGCAGTATCCCACATTTAAGTGCTCCACAAATGAAGCCCTGATGGCTAGTGACATTGTTACCAGGGATATAAGTATTGACCAGGCGGCTCACGTATTTAACGACAGCTTAAACTATTTCTATTGATTAACATTTTCAGAGATTATCATGTGTCATATCAAAGAGGCCTGACTGCCATGATGAGCACATTAAAAAGGCCCCTCAGGGCGACCACACCGATAGAAGTGCGTGTTTTGGGGGGAGTAGGGACAACGGGTGGCGGGTGTTGATGGGTGCAAGGGCAAGATAAGACTCACCCTCCTTTGTGTGCTTTTACTGTACATGCAGGTCACCTGTCCTTTGCTCAGACATATTTAGGTTGGACTTGATTCATAAATAAGGAAGAGCCCTGCTGTTCTGTGTCTCAGAGCCTGAGGTGGCGTGAGCACTGTCTGAGGAGCTCTCCAGTCAGAAGATACAAGGGGGGAGAGACAGAGAGAGTGAAGGCAGGAGGGAGAGAGATTGTGTGTATGTGAGGGAGAGAGAGGGAGGAGGTGACATCTCCTGTGTTTATACTAGGAACCAACCTCAAGCTTCAACCTGTGGTGGTCATTCAGATGCACAAAGGTTGTTGATGCAGCTTCTGGTTCAGCCGGAAGCATATTCTCGC